TTCAGGCTCTCCTGTCGCCGCCTTCCCTTTGCCTTCGAAGGCAAAGCCAATTCTTTTAAAAACAACTCCCTACTACTGGTACAACAAAGCCTCCTCTGCCCGAGAGGGAAGCCCAACCCCATTAATCAAGGTTAATTTAAATTAATCAAGGTTAATTTAATTTTAATTAATCAAGGAGAACAACCCCATTATTCATCCGAATCATTCCCTTGTGTGCAAAGATAAAACGTGATGAACCTGAAGAAGCCACATTAGATATGAAAATTATAGCTGCTATGAAAGTTACATCAGAACTTATTTTCTTTTCCTTTGCAAGAAGGACATACGCAACCCATGTCTAAATATATATGGAGGTGAAATGTGGAAAAAATATTCTTTTGTAATGCTGGCTCATATTCAGACATAAATCATTAGAGAATTTACTGCCAAAAAAGTGTTAATTTTAATTACACCAAACAATTAAAAGCATTATTTAAAAAATGAATACATACTCTGTACTTACTTAGAAGGAAAACTTAAGACTTTAGTGCCATGCTTCCCAAAAGAGATTTTCTTAGATTCACTAGTAATATAGTAAAGGAATGAGATGAATGTTTGCAATTTAATCTTCCTGGAGGGTTGTCACAGGAACTTAATCTGAAATATTTAACCAATACCCTATATCTGGTTGACTTTTGAAATTAAACCGGGTTACAGTGGTTAATTTTGGATGGGGCTCCCTCCAGAAATACCAGAATTATAGATTAGACTGAAAAATGCTATAATATATAGAACTATATTGTGAAGAAAACCACAAAGATGTGACAAAAGTCACTAAGCTCAACTTTACATTATTAGGAATGAATATTAAATGTTCATTTCCATAGTTGCCTGAATTGTGATCTGCAGTGATAAATTACTTTTCAGCATGAGGTCTCTCTAGAAATATTTCTCTAGATAAGATTCAGCTGCAATAAAATAATGTACTTGGATCCACAAGACTATTTTAGTAACTTTATTGTTGCTGAGGTGTTCTTTCCCCACGTTTCTTGGAGAAAAACATTAACAACAAGAACGTTTACTTCCTTTGTAGATTTTTTTGGTGTAGAAACTTTTATACTACATACTTCTCAATTCAAATTAAAACATATTCAATGCATGAACATTTAACAAACCAGGATTCTGTAGATTTGGGGTAGCACCGGAATACTAACTTTGATACATAGTAGTTCAAACTATATTGAACTGAGATGCTGGAATGAAGGCTCTGGAAACAGATGTGTCTTGTTCACCCAGCTTCACACCAAGTCATAAATTCCGGCAATGACTTTCAAGAACCAACTTAAGAATCTGGAACTGACTAATCAGTTGATAAAAAGTTGACAAAACGAATTGAACCTTTTCTATCTATATGACTGAGTTAATTTTAATATAAACCTACTTACTTACCTATGACAAGTTCTCAAACCATTAATACTCATTGCTCTGCAGGACAGCCAGTTCTTATAGCTTCTCCTAAAAGCTGAGAAGTTAGGGACATTTCATGTTCTAAGATTAGTTGACAAAATACTTTTGCAGCTCTGCTCCCACGCCTTCACTTGAAGGGGGACCTTCAGCAGATCTTCTCTTTAAGAATGTGTGGGATGCTTGAATCTTGTTCAGACAAATGATCCTGAAAATTCCATTATAGCTTCTAAAAATAAGATGCACAGTTTGGTACATATGATCAGAAATTCACCAGTACCTTTGTTTTATTGCATATTGCAATTAACAAAGTTTTTTTCAAATTCTACTACAAAACAGGAGATCAGGAGACCATCTTATTTTCACTCCTTGTATTGTCATTCATCCAACTAGTTTATACAGTACTACTAAGGCAGTAGGTGAAAACTAAGTTTATACAGTACTACCACGTAACTACATGGACAGAATTAGGAGTGCTTATCATCCATTTTTGTTTTTTCCCAAATTCTAGGCGTAATAGTATGGCAATCTAGACATAATAGTGACACAATAGGTTAACTTCTAGAACACTTGTTCATTTGTGAACATCCAAGACGCAAAGTCTACATAGAGTCTACACAGAATGCATATAGAATATATTCTTACTGAGTCCCATTCATATGAATTATTCATGGTTTTCTTTTATTTAACTTAGTATTTAGAATTTCCACATTTCACTGCTCTGCAGAAGCCACGATACATTATAGAAAAAGATGCAGCTCATCATAACTCTTTTAAGACACATTGCAGCATCTAATCAGGAAGAATAGAATCAGCCCCATTTCTGTGGGATCCTTGATGTTCCCTGATCTTAGTTGTTTGTTTTACAGGATATTTCATTACCTAAATTGACCCCGTAATTCAACCTTGATCTATGACTATTCTCTTCTATTAGCCACATTTCTTCTAGTGGAATTACCGTGCCACTGGGGAACCTTTTGGGCCCCCTTTGGAAGGTAAGGAACTGCATTATGGCCCCAGACCACTCAAGGTGTAGTGAAGAATGTTCAGTGAAATTTCAGAACATTCTAAGATTGGACAAGAATTTTCCTTTCTACTCCTATATGCTTCGCAAGGAAAATAAATCCTTACCACTATCAAGTATATGTGGAAAACCCTGGTCTAAAATTCCAAAGAATCTCTGCTAGTCACCATAGTAGATAATGTTGAGCTTGATGGATAATCTTGCATTTATAGCATTTATTTATGAGGTTTATTATCACTGACTCCCAAATAACTGAGGGCAGTTCACAAGTTCAAATAGAAAAAAAAAGAATTAAAAACATAGTGTAATAAATAAACAAATCAATGTATGAAAACATATACAAAAGCTTCATCCATTCCTATCCTCCTTTATCCATGAATGAGAGACTGTAGATCCTTAATACAGAGAGAACTACTTTTCAATAAACTGAACAGAATTACACCATTAATAAGCCACTATACAATAATAGTTTACCCAATTGGTTAGAATGCAGTATTGCAGGCTACTTCTGCTGACTGCCAGCTGACTGCAATTTGGAAGTTCGGTTTTATCAGGGTCAATGTTGACTCTTCTTCCATCCTTCCGAGATTGATAAAATGAGGACCCAGATTGTTGGGAGCAATATGCTGACTCTGTAAACCACTTAGAGAGGTAAAACACTATAAAATGGTAACTAAGTCTAAGTGCCACTGCTATATGTTGATTTGATAGCCTCAGTTTTACTGATGCACAAGTTATACTTACCTGAGTTCTCAAATGTCTAGTGAAATAAGAGTTATTTTATGTTTGCTTTTTGTTTTTTAAAAAAGGAATATCAAATAGATTTTTCACATTTCTGTTAAAAGTTAAGTATGCAGAGTCACATACAATATTACTATTTTCAAGCAAGAGTCATTATCAACTATTTCCAAGCAACAGACAAAAGAAAGGGAGTCCAAACAACATATTTTCAATTAAAAATAAAATTAACTCCTTTCAACTTGACATGCCTTGTTTCTATACAAATATTTTAACAAGTATGCTAAACAAAGAGCTTCATGTTAGGGAAAGCCTGTATATCAGAGAATTAATATTAAGCAATGAGCAGCACTCTTCAGATCCGAGGATGGAAAAAAGAAAAATAATAACTTATTCATTCAACACTTGATGGTGTCAGGATGATTCACTCCCTGTGTGAAAACTGTACGTGTTACAGCATTTGATTTTTTGTTCCTAAGCAGTAAGTATGAGATCATGCAAATGGGAAAAGTGATATTTAGAAACAGACATTGTAGAGTTATTTCTCTTCATTGCTATGCAGTGAGCACTTGAAGACTTTATCAAAAGACAATATTTAACTCAATAGTTAATGTTATAGTAAGTAGGGGTGGGTTTTGACCGGTTCTGTCCACCTCTGTAGAACCAGTAGCTCTGAAGAGCAGCAGACATAGAACCGGTTCTATGTCTGCTGATGTTTTTGCCCACTTGCCCACTTGGGCTCTTACCTGACCTTTATTTCCTGATTTTTCAACGTGAGGCACAGCTGCAGTTAAAAAAGCAGGAAAAGAGGGCTATTTCAAAGGCTGCGTCTCTGCACACAGCATGCTGATGACGATTTACAGGTGCGTGGCTAACAGTGTGCAGGGAAGCTCATAAATCTCGAACTGGGAGTTAACCCTGTCGTATCCCACCCCTGATGATAAGTATTATTTTATTAACATTTACCAGTAGAAACAGTCCATTCTAAATGAGGGGAGTAAAGTACTTTTATAAATTCACAATCAAAACATAAATGAATATCAGTAAAGAACAGAACACCTTACATAATTTATCAGCAAAACAAGAGTGCTTGTAATGTTTCTGCAGAAATATGTTTTCTTGCTGATGGGATGTATGTAATATTTTTGCCAAAATAAATGTTTTTGCCTCTTGATGGAAGAAGTAGGGCTATTGTTTTTTATTGTTTATATAAAGTTGCCCAGAGACACTAAAAATGAACTGGGTGTTCATATAAATTTTCATAAATTTTGATAAATAAATTAATAACACAGAGTTAGACAGATCTAGTTCCAGATCTGGAGTCCTGTATCTTGGAACTTCTGACTTCTGGAGTTCCAAATTTTGGGATTAAATGCTGAGAAAGCTTGTACAGATCATCCTCCATTTACAACAGTTTATTTAGTGATGGTTCAAAGTTACAATGGCACTGAAAAAAAGTGACTTATGACTGTTTTTCACACTTATAACCATTACAGCATCCTTATGGTCATGTGATCAAAATTCAGATGCTTGACAACTAACTCATATTTATGACCCTTGTTGTGTCCCAAGATCATACAATCACCTTTTGTAACCTTCTGACAAGCAAGGTCAATGGGGAAACCAGGTTCACTTAACAACTATGTTACTAAATTAACAACTACAGTGATTCACTTAACTGTGGCAAGAAAGGTTGAAAAATGGGGCCAAATTCACTTAATAAGTGTTTCACTTAGCAACAGAAATTTTGAGTTCAGTTGTGGCCATAAGTTGAGAACTAGAATGCTGTGTCTACAAGATTAAATTGCTAAACCTTGGAAACTTTGCCCCAAATTTTGGCTTTAGAACAATTGAGGTCTTCAATCGAGGACTACAAGACATGGAAATAAATCCAAAAGGAGAACTTGAACTGGTTCATTTATATTTTCCAATATTCTATGTCTTATAGAGATAGTGATTGCAGACTCCAAAGAAAAATCCAACCACATCTGCCTCATAATTCAGGCTGGATTGCTTTTCATGCTAACAAATATTTCAAATAAGGGAAAAAATAGTAAGCGATGCTGGGCTCCCCTATTTTAAAATTCTACTACATCAGAATATCTATTATTAAGAGTAAGTTAATACCACGTCCCCGTTCTTGTAGCAATTTCAAAGTACCTTTCAGTTACACCTTGAGGCAAGAAGTTGAACATTTTTTTTAAAAAAGAAGTCCCTTTGATCATATGTTTATTAGATCAAAGCAGTTGTACCATGTGCTTTATCTAGAAATTACAGAAACTAATGAATATTTTGACATAATGTTGGCATTATAAAGATATATTTCTTGAAATGACTTCCTAAAAGAAAGATGATACAGCTTATGACAGAATATTTTAAAAACATACTGCGGTACTAAAATATTACAAAAAATGCCCACCACATTATCAACCTGTGGGCAAATTTATCTATTACAACTCAATAATTAATGATAGTACAATGTCAGAGAAGACTGGCATGATCAATTTTGGAAAAGAACCGCTTAAGCAAGAAAGTCAGTCTGCTTCTTAATATGAAACAAATATATCATTAAGCCATCATTGCCCCCCCCCATCCAGGAACAAGCAATAAAATATAGTAGACAGAAGTCATAAGAGATATTTCAGCAATGGGAGATAAATGCATAATGATGAGTCCTATGGAATCAAGTAAGATGTTGATTGCATAAAATTTTGATTTTAGCAAATCTTAAAACCTCATTAATGATTTTTCAGTCCGGAGGAATCAACCAAGATCCAGTTTATAATGTTGATGTACAAGGATTGGAATAGGTGGTATCAATAGATTATATGCAATAGAGATTATGACCATAAATGCATATATACCCGTATATACAATACTAAGTGCAAATATAAGGCAAAAGAATTGTAAACATCAAGTCCAGGATTGTATTATTTGGGTTACATTATTTTCTATGCACAGTGAAAGATCAATGCTTTCTCCAATGACCATTTCACATTATTGATTCCCAGAGTATTGAGATTAAGAACTGGTCCACAGATTAACAGATCTTGCCTATCACCAAAGTCAAGCATTTAGGAGTGTAACAGCATTAAGTCTTGACAGTACAAATGATTTTATATACATTATCAACGTTGTGAGACAACCTTCATTTCCAATTTCGAATCTTTTTTTTTAAAAAAATTGCCTATAAGTATTCTTTCAAACAGTGGAATTTATTCACAGCTCTGAGACATCAGGTTGCCGTTCACTCGTACACCTTCCATCTTCAGGTTGCTTGGACTTGTACTATATAGAAGAAAAGAAAAGATCCCATATTAACATCTGGATTTCATTGTGACCTTATTGTAAGCAATCAGTTCATGATTGCCATAACTTACTGGGATGTAAGAACATTATATGAGAGGAAAAAATTCTCACCCTTCTCACAATAGCTGGCTTTTGGAAGAAAAGGATTAGGGGAAGACATGATAACTGTCTTCCAGTACTTGAAAGGCTGTGACAGAGAAGAGGGGATTGATTTATTCTCCAAAACTCGAGAGGGCAGAACAGAAAGTCATGGGTGGTTAATGAGAGATCCAACCAATAGGTAAAGATAAATTTTCTGACAGTAAGAACAATTAATCAATGAAGAAGCTTCGGTGTCAGCTGTGGATGCTCCATCAATTGATGTTTTCGAAAACAGACTAGACAACCATTTGACTGGGATGGTATAAGGTCTCCTGCTTTGAGATGGTCATTAGACCAGAAGATCTCTGAGGTCCCTTCCAGCTCCATGATTCTATGTTAAACAGATAACAAATAATCAGAGTTGGAAGGGACCCCTCCATCCAAATGGGAAACCCTACACCATTTGGCACAAATGGCAGTCCAATCTCTTCTTGAAAGTCTCAAGTGATGATGCTCCCACAACTTCTGAGGGAAAGCTCTTCCATTGGTTGATTGTTCTCACTGTCACCTTACTTCCAGCTTAAATCTCTCCTTGTTCAGTTTCCATCCATTATTCCTTGTCTGGCCGACAGGCGCTTTAGAAAATAGCTTGACCCCCTTTCTCCCTGTGGCAGCCCCTCAGATATTGGAAGACTGCTATCATGTCTCCCCTGGTCCTTCTCTTCACTAGACTAGCCAAGCCCAGTTCATGTAACCGTTCTTCATATGTTTTAGTCTCCAGTCCCCTAATCACCCTGGTTGCTCTTTTGTACTTTTTCTAGAGTCTCAACATCTTTTTTATAGTGTGGTGACCAAAACTGAATGCAGTACTCTAGGGTGGTCTTACTAAGGCTTTATAGAGTGGTATTAGTACCTCCCTTGATCTCGATCCTATCCCTCTGTTAATGCAATTTAGGATTGCATTACCTTTTGGGGCTCCTGCTGCACACTGCTGGCTCAAATTTAGCTGGTTGTCCACTAAGACTCCGAGATCCCTCTCACAGTTACTGCTATTGAGCCTGGTTTCACCCAGTCTATATGTGTACTTTTGGTTTTTCTTGCCTACGTGTAGGACTTTACTTTTCTCTATATTGAATTTTATTTTGTTAGATACAGCCCAGCGTTCTTGTCTAGTCTAGATCTTGAGCCTATCTTCTTGAGTGTTAGCTATTCCTGCCAGCTTAGTATCATCTGCAAATTTGGTAAGTTCCCCTTCTATTCCTTCATCTAAGTCATTAATGAAGATATTGAAGAGTACTGGGCTTAAGACAGAATCTTGTGGCACCTCACTGCTTACTTCCCTCCATGTAGACTTAGACCTATAAGGAGTACTTGTTGAGTATAGTTTGTCAGCCAGTTGTAGTGGTGGTGCTATCTATTCCACCTTTTTCTAGCTTACTAAGAAGTAGATTGTGGTCTACTTTGTTGAATGCCTTGCTGAAATCTAAATATTTTATGTCTACAGTATTTTGCTGGTCTACTAATTTAGTCACTATGTTGAAGAATGAAATAAGAATGGTTTGGCATGATCTGTTCTTAACAAACCTGTGCTGATTGCTAGTTATTACTTTACTTGTTTCTAGATGTTGGCAGATCTGTTTTTTAATTATCTTTTCCAGTATCTTCTCGTGCATTGATGTTAGGCTGACTGGTCTATAGTTTCCTGGGTCTGTTTTTTTTTTTTTTTTTTTGAAGATGGGAACCACATCAGCTCTTTTCCAGTCCTCTGGTAGTTCTCCGGTGCTCCAGGATTTTTGAAAGATATGGTGCGGTGGTTCTGAGATGACCTCTGCCAGGTCCTTTAAAACTCTGGGATGTAATCCATCAGGCCCTGGTGATTTGTGTCCATCCAGATCAGACAGGTGTTCTCTTACTATTTTTTTTTTTTTTCTTATTTTAACTTTTATTTCTGGTCTGTCTTTTACAGTTATGTTTTGGGTAGATTTAGCTATAGTTTCTTTTTGCGTGAAGACCGAGGCAAAGAATGAGTGAAGCAGTTCTGCTTTCTCTCTGTTGTCTGTTACTTCCTTGCCATCTTCTCTCTTTATTGGACCAACTGTTTTCTTGATTTTTGTTCTACAGTATGTTCTATGTTCAGATAGAATTTGGAAAGCAATAAAGAAATTACAGACTTGGAAAGATACCTTTTAAGTCTCCTTTGCAAGAGCAGAGCAAGCATAGTTAGCAGAAAAATCCACCAAAGTCTAGAGAAGAGGCTTTTCTTGGATAAAATAAGAACACTGATCATTTTAGAGACCTGGTGAAAGTTGCCTCACAGATGCACCTGAAATCCTCTGATATCCCACCAGGAATAGGAAGCTAAGCGACTCTTTTGGTTACCCTGCTAATTTCCTCAAGGTAGTTGAACAAATGTCAGAGTAAATCCCATTGGGTTTAAAGCAATCAGCGGTTTCAATGGCTTCTTTTCTTGAAAGAGCTACATTATTGTAAAAAGCCTGAATGAACTCAAATTATACATGCCTAATTAGGTGACTGATGTGTTTAAAGTTTAATTCTTCCTGTTAGGGAAAGAGGTGATTTAAGAAGAGGGATTTGTTCATCCTTTTCATGCAAGCTACAGGTAGTTCTCAACTTAGTTCATTTAGTGGGCATTCAAAGTTACAATGTCACTGGAAAAAAAGTGACTTATGAACGTTTTTCACACTTATGACCATTGCAGCATTCCTTAGTCACTTGATCAAAATTCAGATCCTTGACAACTGACTCATATTTATGATGTCCTGGGGTTGTGTGATCACTTTTTGCGATCTTCTGTCAAGCAAAGTCAATGGGGAAGCCAGGTTCACTTAACACCCATGTGACTAACTTAGCAGCTGCAATGATTCACTTAACAACTGTGGCAAGATAGGTCATAAAATGGGGCAAAACTTATTTTGACAAACGTCTTGCTTTTATTAAAAACGTTCAAACTGTAAAACACAGCTAAAAAGAAGTAATGGGTGAAGGGATTTTAATAACCGAGCCACATCACCAATGTGCCTGATTTCTGGCATCCTCAGGCTAGAAGTACAATCAGGTCTTAAGGGACCTTCAGAAAATTAGGAGTGTTGGTGCCAGCTTAACCTCAGAGAGAAGGATATTCCGCAATGCAGACGTGGCAACCGAGAAGGCCCACTGCCAAATGTAGCTCCCTATATAATTGAACCCACAGCATGCCCTCTCTCTACTGGATTTGGAAACAGGAAGTTGTAAGTAATTAATAGATACAGTTAAGTAATTTATTCCTTCTAATTAGTTATCAGGACTCTTACTTGGAATGCAGCAGCTGGAGAGAGGAGCAGTAATATTTATTTCCCCAGCACAGCCCGAACAGAAGAGTTTCCCCAATGCAAAATTAGATGACCTTCCTAAAAATATTTATTACTGCAACACCAATGGAAGCTACATATAAAACAACATATGCAAAATGCAAATTTAGAAAGAAAACAAAGAGGTGCTTTGGTTCACATTTCTGAGGAATAGATCGGAAAACGTAAATCGAACCAGAGAAGCAGATAGGATATGCATGCTACACATCACCTGAAAAAACTATTATTTGGCTCTGTGACAGGGCTATACTTGGCAATTTCAAAAATAATCCCAGGTTCTGGATTCTAGAATGAACAGAACAATCCTATATATTCAGGACAACATTTCCACCACAGCTTGGTCTAAAATTGTCTGTAAGATTGACAAAGGAGAAGTGAGAAATAGCTTTGCCTTCCAATTTCCTGCTGGGACTAATTTATTCCTTATACTATACAATGGAAAAAATTCAAACTAGCATATATTTTCATTAAATTAGGTGCAATTTATTTTTGAATTAACCCTTGAGGAATCAAAATGCAACGTTGATGCACTGAAATTCTGTCTCTGGAGAATTAACCTAAAAATATTTTTTGAAGTTAATGTTCAATCTATATGTTTTTAACAAATCAATCTGCTGAGAGATACATTAGGTGTCAAAATGTCCTGAAACATCTTTGGTTAAGTTAATATGATGGCATTAATAAACGCCCCAACAGTGCCAATCAGTAAGCTAACGGTGCTTGTTATCGTATTATATCATTGATATAATAATTGCAATGATCTATTGGGAGTGCTTTAAAATGATAATGCAGTCATCATCTATGAAAACAAAGAACTGAAGCACAGTCTATTCAAATATAATGTGACACTCTATAGCCAAAAAACATCCAGAATTTTGATCAGATGGCATGGACTAAGAAGCATATTTTGTACTAAACATTCCTGTAAACCCATTGCTTGCTAATAGAAAACAAAATAATTAAACACAACAAAAAAATTCCAAAGTCAGGGATTACAGAAAGTCCTCGATTTACAATGGTTCATTTTTGTGGCTGTTTGAAGTTACTGAAAAAAGTGACTTATGACCGTTTTCACACTTATGACCATTGCAGCATCCCCATGGTTACGTGATCAAAATTCAAATGCTTGGCAACTGACTCATGTTTATGACAGTTACAGTGTTCTGGGGTCATGTGATCACCTTTTTCGAACTTCTGACAAGCAAAGTAAAGGGAACCCAGATAAACTTAACAACCGCAGTGCTCACTGTCGCAAGAAAGGTCATAAAAGGGAGCAAAATTTATTTAACAACTGTCTTGCTTAGCAACATTTTGGGGTCAACTGTAGTCATAAGTCTAAATCATAAGTCTGTAATCATAAATTATAAGTCAACTTATATTTTGGGTGAGCTAATTTTTATAATTTTAAGTAGATGCAATACTGTAGGCAAACATGAAATGTGCAGGTTGCTTACCAACGTAAGTAAGTTTGAATGCTTACAATGTGAACAGAAACACTGACACTTACTATTGTTTTGAAGAGCGTTTTCTTCTTTTTTAGAGTTTTCTTTTCTGTTTGCAAGATGGGTGGAATGTTTGTCTGACTCATTCTCTGTGACACATTTGTTTCTTCCAGTGTTGGACAGCATATGGATAGGGTTAAAGCTTTAGAACGGTGCAGTGTACATAGTCAAAATAAAGTTGTAAAATGCAATCCATATCAGTAAATTACAAAAATTAGATAGATGGATAGATAGATGGATGGACGGACGGACGGACGGACAGACAGACAGACAGACAGACATAGAGATATTATATAGACATAATATAGATTTACATCATCAGTGTCTCCCTCTCCCTCTCAGGTAGTATGTATGTGTATGTGTGTTGCAAATAAGGCTAAAGATTAATTTTCCACAGAAATGGTTTAATCTGACTAGACTGTACTGATCTATGTGAATATTCACATGATCGAATATCCTTCAAAGATATCCCTCACAGAAGACTGAGAAATGTTCTCCTACTTTAGCATTGCCCCTGCCATCTTTAAGTAGTGACAAAAATAATATATTTAATATATAAAGTTAGAGCCATCCTGTGGGAATATATAAGATACATTTCATCATTCTGCTGCCCCCAACTCCTTGAGCATTAGAAAGCGAACATCCATTTCCACTGATGCAGCCATTATCTTTGCTATCATTTTATGTTATGTAAAATAAGACTTCTGTGTTTCATTTCTGCACCATCATATAGAAACAGTTCCTATTTCTGCCCTTGCAGAAAAATGTTTTTTCAATTAGGCTTCTTTGAAGCTACATGCAGATATAGGAGCTGTTTCCTATAGCCATGGTGGCTCAGTGGTTAGAATGCAGTATTGCAGGCTACTTCTGCTGACTTGCGGGCTGCAGCAGTTTGGCAGTTTGAGTCTCATCAGCTCAAGGTTGACTCAGCCTTCCCTTCTTCTGAAGTGGGTAAAATGAGAACCCAGATTTCTGGGGAAAATAAACTACTTAGAGAGGGCTATAAAGCACTGTGAAGTGGTATATAAGTTTAAGTGCTATTGTTAAGTCCTATTTCATATACACATTCAAAAATCCAGATAGCTAATCAGTCATTATTTCATGGAAGAATTTATTCCAAAGGAACTCTCATTATCTAGGGTTTAGAAACAGAAAAAGAATTTCTCCCGGTCTATCAGACCATGGTTCATCAGTAAGATGAACCATTTATTTGAGACATGGATAATGAAATCTTAGGAGGGAATTGCTGGAATCACTCATACAAATAATAAAAACAATCGCTGAATTGTGATGTACAAGTATCTAGATGAATTTTGACATTTATCAGTTATGACAAATATCATTGTCTACTTTTCATTTTTTCCCAACACTATATTAAATAGTCGCTTTTATCACAAGCACATTACATTTTATTTCCCTGTCTGTTTTAAATGCCTATGTGATGGAAGAAAAATACTTGCATGAATAAAGTGGCAAATCTTTGTACATAGTACAAAGTACATACTGTGTACATAGAAACTTTGAATGGTCACTAAAAGAACTGTTATAAGTTGAGGACTATCTATATATTGTTCAGCAGTATTAACATGAGTTTATGTACATGAAACAGAAAGAACTTTTCCCAAGATAAATGATGTTCTTCCTACCCCCACCCCCCCAAAAAACCTATACTCAATGACAAGAAGGATTTTAAAATATTTGAATACTAGGCAATGTAGGTTTTGCCTTCATGAAAATATATAGTCCAGATTCAAAAGATGCTGAAACTGCTCATGTATTATTTAATTTCTGGAAAAATTACATAACATAACAGCATTGTTGTTATTTTTAAATGAACAGGGGTGGGTTTTATCGTTTTTTAAAAATTAATGATAGTGTAAAACTGCAGAGCTTTCACTTTCTTAATTAACTTACCTGGTATGGTTGGCATAGAACGGCTGGCAAAACTCATTTGCTTGAGAAGAACAGATGTTTTCTGAGGGACATCCAGATGTTCAGAAAGGTTGGTATCACTCATAAATTCATATTTTCTTGACAGCTGCACAGCCATAACAACAACAACAAAAAGCCAATGTGTAAAACTCAAGAAAGTAAATTGGTTTTAATGGGTTACTTTTTAATATGTACTGTCAGTTATTGACCTAAAGATGCCATTTTGGACCTTAAATTCAACTGGAATTATTCTGTTAAAAGTGAATAGAATTTGAATTGTGCCCTACCAGCATGATCAGTTTGGAGCTTCTGTTCATCTTTTTAAAAAACTAATAAAACTTGCTCAAAGTTACAGAGTTAAAAAAGGAAAGAAAATATAATCTATACTAGATAGAGATAATTTGAGTTGTCTAGCTATTTTGCACTAATTATCACACTAGCTGCCACTAGCTGCATTTTTCAAGATCATGGAAACTGACGTCCAAAATATCTTCATGAAGGTAGCCAGAATGCCTATGCCCCTCCCCCGTCCCACTCCCCTATCTCCCCACCACTAATTAACTCTAGCATTTTAAAATACTTTATTAGATCAGGGTCTATTTCTACATTAGGCGTGGCTAGGTGTAAAAACTATGAAATGATTTTTTTAAAAAATAGACATGGATAAGATCATGGTACGAAAGCATTTCAGAATGAATTCAGTCTTTCCACTTGAATATTATGAGATATGATCATATTAAAAACTGGCAGTTTACAGTTTACAAACATACCTTTTTAATGTTATTAGGCAGCAAATAAATTTAACAAATAAGATTTCTTTGATTATTGCAAACTGCTGCTTCTCTCTCTGTCAAACACACACATACACACACAAACTCACATGCACACACACACACACACACACACACACACACACACACAGATAGACATAGAGAGGGGGAGAATTTTAGATGTATTTGTTATGGATTGCCCTATGT